CAACGGGAGCGCAGATTGGTTGCAAAGCCCGGGTTTATCTGTTCGGAGCGTCTGAAGCCGGCCAGGCTGCTCCGTCTAATAATCCTACTACTGCTACCTTGTTCCGGCATAAACCCCAGCCCCGCCCCCTTTTACTGCTCCACATGTCACCAAGTCATCAAACGAATCCAAGCAAGTGTGTGGTGCCACATTTGCGGGTGGATCAATTTTAAATGTTTTAAGCTCCCCAATCTCAAAAGCCACCTCAAAATTTATTGCTCATACTGTTCCCAGAACCACATAATGCCACCACCTGTAACTAATAGCCCAAACCTTTGAAAAAACAGTCCCCATAATCTAATTACTCACACTACCGACAACCATTCAAACGTCAAACTTTCACATCGCGTCTCAAGCACCCAACAGGTAAATTCTAATCCCAACTCCAACCAGCCACCGCGGAGCGATAGTTCCTTAACCTCAATCCTGTTAAAATCTCTAAATATCCTAGCTTTCAACATCAATGGTATCTCCTGCAAAGCCCATGAAAATGCAGCCCTACTATGTAAAAACCAAATCCACCTTCCAGTCTTCCAAGATACCACGTAACCAAATCCCTCGATTGGCCTGAACTACACACAACATAGAAAAAAACAGTATACTAGAAGGTGAAGGCCTGCTGGTAGCAGTAAATAACTTTCTCATGTACGAGGAACTAGACTGTAGCCAAGACGGAACTCTGGAGGCGCAGAGCATTAAAATAAAACCCAACAGCCAGTCTCCGAATCTCAAATTTCTACTTTCCCCGCGCAGAAGCTACCCGAATGACTGTAAACCGTACCTCACACGGTTCCTAACTGAAGACAATAGTTTACCCCCAGGAGACGTAAATGCTCATTCCTCTCTCTGGAATTCTCACTTCTCTGGAGTACATCAGGGGTCGAATTTTCACTGATGAAATTAACAACTCAATTTTTACCCCACTAAACGATGAAACTTCTTCGTCTTCGCCGGACGTATCTTTAGCATCTCCTTCGCATCTACTGTCTTTGAGTTGGCAAACTTTTAACTTCAGGATCAGATCATCTTCCTGTAACTTCCTTTGAGCGATGAAATCCCTTTCTCTCTCAAAAAGACTTACGTTTATTTTAAAAAACCGACTGGCCAAGTTAAGTGAAGAAATCGAACAGGTACTAGAATCACTGCCCCTGCCGCATGATTTAATAACCGCGGAGAAACAACTACGTGACAGGATTTTAGCAACCGCTCGTCACCACATGCCCGCCGGATGGCATCGTTTCTTTTTAGCTGTTCTCCCTCCAGAAGCTAAATCCCTGGTAGGAGAGGGAGACCAAATTTGACTAGGAGATCGTTTAAAACCGAAACAAAGTTTTTAAAACACCGAAATACAAAAAATAACTGCTAAGAGCAAAGAAAAACGTTAGCGAGACTTTCTCCAGATGTTCAGTCACCGCACGGCGTCAAGCAAATTCTGGAAAATCGTCCGTTCTTCAAATGAAGCGAAGTAAATGATGTTACTGTTAATGATTTTAATGAGAAAAAAAGCTTACAACAAAAGACATTTTAAATGCTTTTAACATCAATATATGCAACTAAGAAAACATCAATCAAACAGGGAGCAGAGAGAAACTAAACGAAAAGTTTCTAAACTTAGGCTAGAAAACCAAGATAAATTTGATCCAATAGATACTGCAACCGTCATCAAGTCCGCTAAACCCTCCAGAGCGCTAGGTTCCGACGGTCTGCGTACCATATATTTTTTTAAAATATTTAAGGCCAATTGCAATTGAATTTCTGGCTCATACTTTCAACCTCTCCCTCGCTTATAATTAAAATCCCCTATTCTGGAAAAAATCTTCAAGTTGTTCTTCTACCCAAACCCAACAAAGATTTTAAATCGGCTGATTCGTGTCGTCCGGTATCTATCCTCAGTCCAGCAGTTAAAGACAGTTAAATTTTTGGAAGCCTCTAATCATACCCAAACTTGCCGCTCATCTAACTTAAGCCTCCGACTAACACGGATTCAGACCTTTCCTTTTAACTGCTACAGCTCTGTCTACAATTTCTTATATCAAGTGGTTTTAGCCAAAAGAGACCCCCAAAACGAAGAGTACTAGCCAATCTTGACTTGTCAAAAATCTTCGACATGGTATGCCACCGTACTTTAAACAAACTTCTGCACGGCTCTAGCATATTTGAAGGGATAGTCAGTTGGCTCTCAAATTACCTTAGTGGGCGCCAAGCCAAGACTCTATTCAGAAATAAACTATCGGCAACTAGGATAGTCCATGCAGGGGTTCCTCAAGCTTCAGTACTTTCTCCCACTCTTTTGAACTTCAACGTATATAGGAGCATCATGTTCCTAGAAGTTAAAAAGAGTAGGGGAAAGGACTGAACCTTGAGGAACCTCTGTATGGACAATCCTACTTCTCGATAAATTATTTCTGAATAGAGTCTTGGCTCGGCGCCCGCTAATGTAATTTGAGAGCCATTTGACTATCCCTTCACGTATGCTAGAGCCGTGCAGTAGTTTGTTTTGTACGATGGCATAACATAGCGCAGGCTTTCAACAAGTCAAGAGATGCTGTTACTGTCTGGGGTCTCTTTTGGTTAAAGTCATCCGAAATGAAAAATTCTTTTGATTGCAGGGCTGTCGTTTTGGGGGTCTCTTTTAGTTAAAATCATCTGATTTGGAAAATTCTTTTGTAGACAGGACCGTAGTAATTGAGTGGAAAGGTCTGAATCCATGTTTGCGAGAGGCTAAGGCCACTCGAAAGAAAAACTTCAATCTTACGCAGACGATTTTCACTCTTTTTGTACAATCAAGTAATATCGTCGAGGCGTCCGGCTTTTTAACCAATTACTTAAAAGAGCTCCATGAGTTGCTTTAAGAAAAGACACCTAGTGTTTTCTTTCTCGAAAGGATCAGTGAGCCTCTTCAGCTCCCACAACAAAGAGTTCATTTCCAAACCAACGGTTTTAATAGATTCTTCAATTTTCCCGGTCGAAAAAAAAAACAAATACTTTTATGACCCGGAGTGTTTTATCCCGTCACTCAACTTTGCGGAGCATTTTAAGCAAACCGCCATAAAAGCAGCGCGCAGTATATTGATCCTGAAGGCTCTGTCCGGGAGAACTGGGGATAATCCAAAGAAACATTGCTTGTAACGTTCAAGTCTCTGATCAGACCAATGCTCGATTACTCCTGCCCAGTTTGGTCCCCTGCTGCAAGTAATTCCTTCCGGAACAAATTACAAATAGTTCAAATGCTGCTCAATTTACAAACCGTTCAAAACACTGATTGCAAACTACTATTCGTGCAACAGCACCATCTACTTTTATCTACCCAGTATTTTTCTGAATCGTACTTTCACTTCCATCCCTTTCATTTCTATCTTAGGTTTCCCTCTTCTCCCAGACAAATCAAACCTAACATTAAATCAATTTTATAAGAAGAACTTGAAAAAATAATCTTCGATCCAAGCGGTTTTGCCCCGTTTCACGATAACACGGACCGAAGCGACTTCGTTTTTGATAATTTTAAACATCTTTTAAGAAGGGTCCACACAAACCACGTAACAAATGCCTGATGTTTACCGACTGAGGAACTGCTCCCCCGTTCAACAAGGTGCACGTTATCACAGCTCAGATCCGGCGACTCCCCATTTTCAATTACCAATCTTAATAGAATAGTACCCAATGTCCCCCCGAACTGTGCCCACTGTCTGTCTCCCTATACTACCCTTCACCTCTTTAACTGCCCCACAAAACCGCCTGAACTGACCCCAACAGACTTGTAACTACGGCTGGCCGAAGAAGCAATGTTCCTTGGACTCGGGCCAAGCTCGCATGACGCTCCCCCTATGGGCAACTAACAACAACAACAGCTCCGCGGCTAAAAAGACGACACGTTTCTGACGACGAGTTTGTCGATTCTCGCTTCTGACGAAGTAGGGTTGAGTTGCCGGCAATTGGAATGGAATTGCTGAACATTAATTTGCAGCAGGTGCTGTCATTTCTACCGTCTGACGCAAATTTGTTGGAGCGCAGCTAATTTGCTGGACGTTTTGTCTATTTCTGTTCAATTTCAGAAAAAATAATAAGCTGTTTTCAATTTACTAGCTGTTTGTTCGTTTATCCCATGGTTTAAATTGCATCGAGTCTTAGATTTTCTTGCACACTTGCTCGTTTTTTTGTAATTTACTTTCGGGATATATTGTTTTTCTTGTATCATCATGCACTAGGATGGTCTCATTGTTCTTCAGCCGCGCTGCTTCAAGCCAATTGGATCTACTTAACAATCTCCACCCCTTTTAAGAAAGGAGGGAGATTGTTAAGGAGATTGAAAGTCGAATTTTCATTGCTGCAAAATTAGAATTCGCAATAGAAAGCTATGTACTGTATTTATTCATAGGGGGGGGGGGGGGTTTGTTAATTAGATCGATCCAGTAATGAAAATTGCTCGTTTTTTTGTAATTTACTTTCGGGATATATTGTTTTTCTTGTATCATCATGCACTAGGATGGTCTCATTGTTCTTCAGCCGCGCTGCTTCAAGCCAATTGGATCTACTTAACAATCTCCACCCCTTTTAAGAAAGGAGGGAGATTGTTAAGGAGATTGAAAGTCGAATTTTCATTGCTGCAAAATTAGAATTCGCAATAGAAAGCTATGTACTGTATTTATTCATAGGGGGGGGGGGGGGGTTGTTAATTAGATATCATAGGGGGGATTGTTTAGTAGATCCCGCCAATTTGATGGCAGAAAAATAGGCATTTTTTGAAAAAATGGTAAGATGCTGTTTTTTGTTCCATGTACGTTGCCACGAATGATCACGTTTGTCGTTGAATGCTTCCGATATTGTGAACTTTGGCTCTGAAGAAATTGTTCCTGCTAACTCGTTTAAAAGAACAAGTTGGCAATACTTATAATGGCCACTAACCCTAGCATTGCTCAAAATTTGTCTCATCAAACAGGGACGAAAAAATTTCTTCTGTTTAGATTCATTTGCTCTCAAGTTTGGACTTCAGCCAGGACAGTGGAGCTGTGGCGTTTGCTTCATCCGTAATAACGCAGATGCTGTCAAATGTGCCGCTTGCCAGACTCACAAAGACGGAAAGGCAGTCCCGGGAAGAGGGGGCACCGAAACTCTCCCGGACCTACGTGGGGCTTCGGAGGGAACCTTGTTTACAGTCGGTATTGCAGAAAGTAGCCTTTCAGGTATTAATAATTTAATTCACTAAACGAACGGCTAACTTATCCGTGCTTTTTCTTCTAAAATTGTTTTTCGCGGTATGGTTTCTATTTAAATTTACTTCAAATTTGTTTGCAAAGAAAGTAATACTAATTTTTACAACAATTAGAATACAAATTGAAGTATTAAATTATAGTTTTGAGCAATTTTTAAAATCTTTCAGCTAATTTACAACAGAAAAAATATGTTTTGTCGTAAGTGAGCTTTTTTACTTTTAATTTTGACTTTTAACTATATTAGGGCAATTGTGAGTACTGCTGACCATTTAAGTACACTGGTGGACAAAATTAAGCGCTAACTCAAGATTTTACTTTCTAAAATGCCTGTTTTCAATGTCCATTTTGGACAACATTTCCTTCGAATTCCAATAAAATTTTTACATAGACCAAGAGCAAATGATCAGAGCTGTCCAAGTTATCCAACTTTGTTTCACGCGTTTTGAAAAATTTGAAGCAGATGATGAAAACTGGCATTTTCAGACCCGGTAAGTAGTTCAAACAAAAAATAAAGACTTTCAGAGTGGTAGTTAAGTTTTTTTATAAGATATAAAAGTTTTGTTAATTTCAGAAGTAAATATTGTCCAAAATGGTCTTGAAACTAGGCTTTCCATAATTTAATAAAAAAATAGTTACATGACGATTTACTCTGTTCCAATTTACTTATACATAATTACCTCGTGGCGCTTTAGCCTACATTCCAACTTAACCTATTTTAGTTAACCCTACGCCCGTTTTGATAAATTTTTTCTTCGTCTTTGAATATTTCTGTAGAAAAACTTTGAATAGATACCAATGAACTATTCACTTTAATCATGAAATGGTTGTCGAATGTGAATTTAATTGCAAAGCAATGTAAAAATAACTTGTTCAAAATTAAAATGTGATCCAAGCATGAACGAGCAAAACACATCGGACTAATTTGCAATCGCAACGGGTTGCATCTGTTCTTGAATGTGCAAAAGTCATAAGCAATAATGAGTGAATGAGCTTATGACTTGAATGAGCAAAAGGGATATAGACAATTTGTTTTTAGTACAATTGCAATAATAATTTGAATGAGCAAAACGGATATAGACAATTTGCTTTGTAATTCACTTCTATCACTTCCCAAAGTTTCAGACATATGGAACGCTGGGAACCTCAAAAAGTGTGTTTTTTTACAATCAGTTAAAGTTTTGGAAGTTGATCTTTAAGAGTAGCTCAATGGCGCAAGAGAATATAAATAGTTTATGATTCTTTATTGAATCTATTTTCAATGTTTGTTACTCGTTCGTTCATTTATCGATACTTTTTACGACTCGGGTTGCATAGAGTTGGACTTGGTCGAGGAACATACTTAACTGCCTTGAAAGGGGGCAGTGACACCAAGAAGTCATTCCTCTACGGCGTTTTTTGTTCTTACCAGGCCAGCTGAGGCTTCTTTTGAGTGGTTCCAGAACGTTAAGGAAAGAATGGCTCTCGGTTGTTTCGAACTAATGTCTCTCCTTTGATGTAGCTTTTTTTAATCATAGGAGGCAACTGCATCCAGTTTTTCACTAATGGTCTCATCTAACTCAGTGATCACAACTCTCTCAATTTCTCCAATTATTTGATCAAACGCAACGGTAACACTGTCAATTAATACGAAACAAAAATCAGTCGTAGTGCCAAATTGAGCTCATGGTATGCTCTCGTTTGTTGGAATGCAAAGCATAAATGCTTGGGCGTAAAATCCTGTCATTTGAATTTGGAATGTATATAGTTGATAAAATTTGCATTGAGCACATTTTGAAGATGTCAAAACAAAGCCATAGATCTCGTGTCAACTCAAGAGTCTTCAAGTTTTCGCAGACCCCGCAATTAAATAATCGATACCGGTGTCGAAAAGACAGTAACTCTCACACTGTTTTGGTTTTTAAAATGTTTAACGCAGAATGAGAGGTAAAGCTAATTGCACTGCTTTTTTGTCCGGCAATTGCCGGAATATGGTATCTTGTTTCATCTATTGAACAAAAATTTGTGCTTCGGATCGACCAGGAGAGACTTCGTGGCTGTGATCCTTGCGTCGAGACATCAGATCATCGCCTTGCATTTGTGGGAGTGCCATCTTGAACTTTTCCACTTTTTGCTTTTTGGTATAATCGTGGCCATCAAATACAAGAGTGCGACTTTTGAGTTACTGTACTATTGAGTTACTCTAATGAAATAGTTTTTGCATCGATCTGCTCGAAAGTTGTGATATTTGCGGATTTGAATAGATACCAATGAACTATTCACTTTAATCATGAAATGGTTGTCGAATGTGAATTTAATTGCAAAGCAATGTAAAAATAACTTGTTCAAAGTTAAAATGTGATCCAAGCATGAACGAGCAAAACACATCGGACTAATTTGCAATCGCAACGGGTTGCATCTGTTTCTTGAATGTGCAAAAGTCATAAGCAATAATGAGTGAATGAGCTTATGACTTGAATGAGCAAAAGGGATATAGACAATTTGTTTTTAGTACAATTGCAATAATAACTTGAATGAGCAAAACGGATATAGACAATTTGCTTTGTAATTCACTTCTATCACTTCCCAAAGTTTCAGACATATGGAACGCTGGGAACCTCAAAAAGTGTGTTTTTTTACAATCAGTTAAAGTTTTGGAAGTTGATCTTTAAGAGTAGCTCAATGGCGCAAGAGAATATAAATAGTTTATGATTCTTTATTGAATCTATTTTCAATGTTTGTTACTCGTTCGTTCATTTATCGATACTTTTTACGACTCGGGTTGCATAGAGTTGGACTTGGTCGAGGAACATACTTAACTGCCTTGAAAGGGGGCAGTGACACCAAGAAGTCATTCCTCTACGGCGTTTTTTGTTCTTACCAGGCCAGCTGAGGCTTCTTTTGAGTGGTTCCAGAACGTTAAGGAAAGAATGGCTCTCGGTTGTTTCGAACTAATGTCTCTCCTTTGATGTAGCTTTTTTTAATCATAGGAGGCAACTGCATCCAGTTTTTCACTAATGGTCTCATCTAACTCAGTGATCACAACTCTCTCAATTTCTCCAATTATTTGATCAAACGCAACGGTAACACTGTCAATTAATACGAAACAAAAATCAGTCGTAGTGCCAAATTGAGCTCATGGTATGCTCTCGTTTGTTGGAATGCAAAGCATAAATGCTTGGGCGTAAAATCCTGTCATTTGAATTTGGAATGTATATAGTTGATAAAATTTGCATTGAGCACATTTTGAAGATGTCAAAACAAAGCCATAGATCTCGTGTCAACTCAAGAGTCTTCAAGTTTTCGCAGTCCCCGCAATTAAATAATCGATACCGGTGTCGAAAAGACAGTAACTCTCACACTGTTTTGGTTTTTAAAATGTTTAACGCAGAATGAGAGGTAAAGCTAATTGCACTGCTTTTTTGTCCGGCACTTGCCGGAATATGGTATCTTGTTTCATCTATTGAACAAAAATTTGTGCTTCGGATCGACCAGGAGAGACTTCGTGGCTGTGATCCTTGCGTCGAGACATCAGATCATCGCCTTGCATTTGTGGGAGTGCCATCTTGAACTTTTCCACTTTTTGGTATAATCGTGGCCATCAAATACAAGAGTGCGACTTTTGAGTTACTGTACTATTGAGTTACTCTAATGAAATAGTTTTTGCATCTATCTGCTCGAAAGTTGTGATATTTGCGGATCAAACTTAGTTAGTTTTTTTAGCCTACAATCTCTGGGCAAAACGTGAATTTATGTTGTCACAACAATTAGTTTGAATTTGCATTTCAATTAAGTCTTAAACTCTGGCTTGAAATGAAATAGCACGTGCAGGTTTAAAGTTTAGATTTTGGAATTTAATTACTTCATCGAAGATTAAAACTAATTGCGACACAATTCGGCTTCAGGTAATTTAGTATATGATAAGTTAGAAAATTGGGTAAAATGGCATAGATCAAGTTTGAGTATACTTTGAAACGCTATAGGGCAATTTGAGTGGAACAGGGTATTATGTCCTGCTACCAAAAAAAATATAGCCACCAATTTTGTCGGAAAATAATTCCCCAATACAGTACTCCACAGCAGTACTAACAACAGTATAGCTCCAAATTTCGTTTGAAAAGTATTTTGTAATCATAAAGTTGATAGTACTATGCAGTTCACAACTGAGCTCATGTATAGGTGCTCATTACTCAGTTTGTTACATAACACATATCCCTAATTCAGGCACTTTTCGCGACGCTGCTACAAATGCCGGTACTAGCAAACAACCAGATCAAACAGCCACAACATCCAAGTCCTCAATATCGAATAGAAGTAGAAGAACGGCTACCCCCAAACCCGGAGACGGATCTTGTCGCTTATACCCCCGTAAATGGTGAAAAACAAAAATGAAAGTTCTAACAACAATATTGGATCGACATTGCTGAGCAAGGCAAAATAGTTATATAGGACTGGTAAAAACAAAGCTAATTAGGCTTCTAATTGGCTCGTTGTTCAATTTTCTCTCCTCAGAATTTGATTATGTTCCCAAATTGTTTACAAGAAAAATCAACGTAGTGAGAACTCTATAGATCTTGGTTTTTTTTCAGGAAAAAGTTTAAAATTTGTTCACGATCTATTTTGATTTGTTGCGGTTGGACTTTTGATTTTTTTAATTTCAATTCTTTTCCTTTGTTCAAAGGAATGCAAACTTCACTATCGAGCAGCAAAATGTAAAGGTCACGAAAAATGTGATCGACTTCTAAATTTCGAAAATGGAATTTATTAATTATTAGATTTCCAAGCGAATTAAAATTTCACATACTGATCCAGTTTTTTCAAATTGGGTTAATTTTTTTTTCAAAAAAGAATTAACCATAAATTATTCATGAAATTCAAAGAGCTTTAAGGGCATATATATTTTTTCTTCAAAATTCGAAAATTGAATTTTTTTCAAAAAAAAATTAGTTTTTTTTCTGTTTCCTTGTGTTCCTTACTCTTTTCCACCTGTCAGTTGGCTATGTTTAATTCCCATTTTGGGATAATTCGAGGCTCAGGTTATCGCCTTAGCATTTTTTAATATAATCGATCCAATTTTGTAATAAAAATTTTAAATTTCTATCATTTAGGGGGATGGGTATAACTAAAAAGACCCCCTAAAACGAGAGATAAATATCTTTCAACAATTTCCATCAAATTAGTTGAAAACTAATTATGATTGACTGAAATTTACATAATTTTCCTGATCTTTCTGTAGATTACGGGTGCTAACTTTAGTTTAGATACATAATCTGTTATCTGCAGTGCAGTTCCTTAATTCAGTTTTTTGTACGTCACTTCTATATAGCTGAGATCGCAGAGCATGATGATTAATTGCAATTTTTGAGTTTTAAGTGAGTCGTAAAATTTGGTCTTACTAAAGGAAAACTTGTGCATTTAGCGGATAACCGTTCCCCGTCACTAAAAAATGGTCTTTTTTGTTGAACAATTGGTTTTTTTGAAATTATCTCGAAGTTTTATTTTTGGTAAGCTGTAAAAAATCGCGTCCAGACAATTCGGCCAAAAACAATTCAGCCGATTTGAAATTCAGACAGTTCAGCCAAAAGTATGCAAACAATTCAGCCAGAGACAATTCAGCCAATAATAGTGACCGCCGCAGTCGCTCCATTGTTTTGCGACCTTGCCAACAGAGGGTAGGATTCTATACCAAATTTAGAGCCGGTTAAACCGCGACGCGCGCGTAGCGCGCCCACCGGCGACCTTAAACCGAGAAATAACTCCAATTCCGATTTTTTTCTTTCGAATCTAGCGTTATGTAAAATTGGCTGAATTGTGTGTGTTTTTGGCTGAATTGTCTGAATTTAAAATTGGCTGAATTGTACAACAAAAAAATACAACACATCAAGATCACTGACGGTTATGGACATTAAAGTAGCCAGGAATGCGATTTGATTTAATGTTTCGAAGTCCATGTGTTTCAGTTGTGCTTGTTTTTACGCTATTGATTGAGCTCTTCTTGAAATTCTTCGAAGACTAGTTTTTGTATCTTCTTTTCAAGGTTGTATTAATGTATCGAACAAAAGGGTCAACTGATTTTTGTTATCTCAACCCAGCTAAATTTCAAATGGTTTGAATCCCAGCTAAATAGTTGGTTGAACGGATCATATAAATAGTTAATGATCCCGTTTTTTCATTTGTCCGTAATTAATGTAAAGTACATCAAGAACTTGTTAATTATATTCTCCCCTATTGTGCCTTGCAGCGAATTGGCCCCCTATAAACGAAGAATTGAGTAGTTAAGCATATACGAATTTTGTACCTTGTAACGAATATGGCCCTCTTTTGCAAAAGGGGAGCATATACTTAACAAAATCCGTCCATCGTTTTTTTTAAAACTTATTTAGGATATCTTCATTTAAAAATATTTAAATGAAAATTTAAAAATTGGATTGGTTAAATGAAAATAGATATTGTTTTGCATAATGGATTGCTGGACACGGCGATATCTTTCTTTTTCTTTTTTATTTTAACAACTACAAAAATTTTTTCTCTTACCGATTCTCTGATAAAGTTGTTTATGTCATATATTTTTTATTTTTCATTTAAAGCAAATATATTTTTTTCATTTAAAGATCTTTTTAAATAGTTGCTTAAAACGAGATCCCTTAATCGAAAATAAGGCGCCATAATTTCAGCAGAAAATACCGAATTTTTCTGCGCAACGGGAGCCTTGCCTTAGCGGTTAGACTTTTGAATTCTTTTTAAATTCAGTTCATTTCGCAGCTTAATTCAAATTCAGATTTCTGAGCTGAATTTAAATTTCACAGCTGAAACTTCCCAGCTTCAAAAAAGCACCATTATAAATTGTTCTGGAAATTCAAGGAGCTCTATGGACATGGTTTTTTAAGAGTCAATGAACGTAGTTCAAACTCTTATATAGGTCACCATGATTTTTTTTTTCGTTTTTTTTTTCAAGAAAAGTCTTAACATTTGTTAAGGCTCAAATTTATTTTTCATGGTTTCATTTTTTGATTTCTTTTTAAGTTCAGTTCATTTCCTTTCTTAGAGGGAAGCAAACTCCACTATCGATCGGCAAAAGTGTTGAGGTCGCGAAAAACGTGATCGACTTAGAGTGCCGAAAGTGTTATTTAATTATCGAATTTCCCAGCGAAAATTTTTTTAACCTTTTGATCCAGTTTTCTTCAAATTGGGTTAATTTTATCAAAAAAAGTTTCAATACGAGGCCAAACTGTGCGCTGGATTCACAAAATGCACAATGTAGCCTCTTAATGGTCAATCATAATTTGTTTCAGAAATTCAAAGGCCATCTTTTTTTTTGTCCTTGAAATTCGAAAGTTCTTTCAAAATATAAATCCATGTTTCGTTGCGTTCCTTGACTCTTTTCCAACACTGTTGACTATGGTTTCTTTAAAATTCGAATGTAGTTGTTTTTTTTTCAAAAACTAATTCAGTTGTTCTTTCTGTTTCTTGTGTTCATTACTCTTTTCCAACTGTCAGTTGGTTGTGTTTCTTTATCATAAATAATGATGATACATCTGCTATTTTTTCGAGCCAAGTCAGATTAACTTGTTTTGAAAAAGAATCTAAGAGCTTAGAGAATGTCCTTGATTGCAATCCTTTGACAATGTGAAGAACCTTTTTTAGTTTCAGAAAAACACTTCAAAATCGTGAGTTGTTTTATTTTACCCTCCTCCAGCCATCAGGTTCCAATCAAAAATATATAATCACTAAAAAAAGATAAGTTCTAAACGACCTATTCAACGACTCAATCCTCCTACTCCCGCAGTTCCCGAGGTGAACCACTCGTTGACTTGAAATTCTCTCTGACCTATCATCCAGTCATTTATGATAGGTTTTGTTTGTTGCTGTAATTTATTTGGCGAAAGGTTTTTTTGCGAGGTTGCGTAGCCCAGACATGTGCGAGTACTCTAAAGTTGAGACTTAAGTTAACAAAGGAAAATATCACATTTGCTTTTGAGTCTCAGATATCTTGACTCGTTTGACCATGGCTCAGGGTTAGTTCCGCTGGACTATGGGTTTTTTCTGAGCGTTAGTGAGATATTCAAAGTTGCTCTTTAAATAAAGATCCACGTTGCTTTAAGCAGGTCAATGAGAGCAATAATCTCACTTTTAGAAGGCACCGTCAGCGAAATTTTTTATACTTGCGAACTAAACTTTTTGCCGGTAAACAACTTTTCTTTCAAGAAATTGAACTTAATTTATTTTTAACGTTGCCAACTTTCAGGTTCCTTCTTACGTGGCCTGGTAACGCGGTCGCTTTTGTAACCTAAGGTCTGGGGTTCAATCGCCGGTGTGACCTTGTTTTTTTTCAGTATTACTAAAGTTGAAATTTTTTTCCGGTAAAAATTATATTGTCGGACTTTCGTTTGTCTGGTCAAGTTTTGTCGGCTTAGGTACGTAATCACGGATTTTTTTTGTGCTGTAAACAACAGTCATGGCAGTTACAAGTGTTGATCATTGTAGTTTCAGGGGGACCTTAAATCTTCTTTTACAAAATTTTTTTTTCGGCTCAAAGGTTAATGATTGTCGGCTTTGCTTTCGCTTCATAAGTTTCGTATTGTTGCTAATTTAAAATTCAAGTGTCTTGCTTGGCATAGTTGCCTGGATTTCTTGTTTGATAGAAACTGGTATCTTCAAATTATATGGGATTGGGGTTTGAATTATTTTTTGTTCAAAACGCAATTTTTTTTGTTCGAAATATCAGTTTCTCGCAACTACTCCCCTGCATAATCTAGCAGTTTTTTTACGCAAAAAGTTTTGGCCTTCGGAAAAGTCAAATTTTTTAAACCATTTTCGGAAACTTTTTGAGTTGTCTTGATAATTATTCTGCCAAAATTGAGACGTTGGTTTCAATGGGTATGTCATCCGGCATGGATCGACAAATCTAGTTTTATATATATATATATATATATATATATATATATATATATATATATATATATATGTTATTTATGCTACGCGTAGCTTATGATTTATGTTATAACCATACATTTGATCGGTTGGTCGACCTTGAGAGACCTTCTCTAGAATGGTGGCCGAACGAACGGTCAGACCAAAATAAACGTTGGTTAAAATCAGTAGTTTTACCTCGCTGCGGATTATAGTATCAGTTTATCGATCCATTCGGATTCCAGAATTAGAAGATCATACGTTGAGGTATGACAGGGTAGTAGCAAGTTCCCATTTTCGAGCGTCCACGCTTACTTGTCTTAAACACAGAAAGCTATCCTTTTCGGAAATGTCGAGTTTTTGATATATTCATTTTTTTTAACTTTCTTTTTTTCTGGAAACCTACTCAACAAATTTGCAGGCTGTTTTCTATCGAAAAACCCTGTTTTTGGGATTTTCGCTGCGTAAAAGGCCACAACCTACGGTTTGCAAAAAAGTTATGTATGCCGGTAAGCCATGTTTCTTAACCCTGATCGTGTATTAAACTTTTTGCCTTTTCTTAAAAACTACCCTCTCAAATCTGTGATGAAGGAATCAATCAAAAGAACCGGTTGCGAGAATTTTTCTGCAGAAGCGTCCAATCCTTGATTTTTTGTAAGAAAAATGTTTGGTCCTTTCAATATCTTAAAAAGTTTCTCTCTTCTCACTTATTTCAGTGTATGTGGGATAAAACTACTTCTAGGGATTCAATGCTAAAATTCTAGTTCCGAAACTAATTTTTCGAGAATAAAAAAGTTTACCTAGTAGGATTTTCTTAACAATTGCCTTTTTAAGAAAGAGGGGTAAATGCGAATTAGTTTTAAGTTAGTCGAATTTTTTACCCATCACAAGGCAGCATACTTCGAGTTATAAGTTAACGCTCTAGTGTTTGTTTACTGCTTTTGTTTATAGGGGTGGAAATTCTATAGTAGGTACCATAGGGAGGGTTGTGAAGTAGGTCCCAATAATCTTACTTTTAGAAACAACGTCGGCGATTTTTTTTTTGCTTTTTTGTTACCGTAGAGGTAAAACTTTGAAAAAAAACTTTTACAAAATAACTGTGGTGGGAACTTTCTGTACTTCTTGCTTAGCAACCAGTTGTTGTTTTTCATAACACGCCATCTCGTCCTCACAACCGAAATACTTCAATTTCATAGTTTTATACGGGAAATTGTTTAAATTTATTTTCAGCGTGGGATAATTTAATGTGGTTGTACGGATACATCCGGCCTTAAAACAGCTGTTTTGTTTCAAAATCAGTTGTCAGTAATGGTATAAAATGCCAATTTTGAAAATTTTCATGCATGGGCGGTTTGATACGCTAGTGAAAGCACGTTTTGAGCATTAGACACTTAAGTTAACGCTATTACAAAAAGATAACTTGAAATCTCTACTTCAGATGTGAATGATTTGCGAGTGTTTGACATACTGATAATTTGACTTTGATCGAAAACCGCTTCTACTTAACAAAAACCTCGAGTTTACACAATCACTGCTCGTGTGGTAGAATATCTGTCGTCTATTTATATTGATAGCTCAATCTGCGAGTGACACCGTCAGAAACGTCTGATTGTTTCTGAAATATCATTGTTATCTTGTTTGTTGTTTTAATTTATTTGGTAGAGCATTCCAAAGAAGTCTGAAATAAACTTCAATCTCAGTTTTGTTATTCATATCTGACCTGACCTCGCGGACGTTTGGGAATTGATCTAACCTAGTGGTAATTAGAAAATGGCGACTAGTTTGGACCAACTGAAAGGCATGACTGTCGTAGTTGCGGATACTGGCGATTTCAACTCGATCGAGAAATACAAACCGACTGATGCTACCACGAATCCCTCTCTATTGTTGCAGGTAACTTTTTTTAATTCTAGCATTTTTTTTCCGACGGAATTTTTTATTTCGGCTCCATGACTGTTGTTGAACGGAATAGACTTCCTTTATGGGGAACAGAATGTTACGTAGTCAATAATGTGTACTGCTTGTTTATAAATTGGGCTATGAACCTATGTGAAAATTAGATATACCTATTTGACCTGAGACGTATCTTCGCACATAATGTTGTTAAGGCGGCCAAGATGCCCCAGTATCAGGATCTGGTGAAGGAGATAGTAACCAGCAGTGCATCAGTGGAAGAGGCATTCGACAGTCTCTTCGTGGAGTTCGGATCCCGCATCCTCCAAATAGTGCCCGGCAGAGTGTCAACCGAAGTAGATGCAAGACTGTCTTACGACGTCGACGCACAAGTAAGGTCTTGTTGCTCCTGAACTTTCTGCTCCATTTAATCTCGAGATTACTTCAACTGTTGTAGCTGTGGTGATTTTGGCAGCTATGCTCACGACTAATTTTTCTAATATATTACTCTTGCTGTCCTTTTTTGTGTCGATAAACGAAATGAGCTTTCATTTTTTAGTTATATGTTTTTGTTTACTTTCTTTGTTTATCTTTGTGAATGATATTAACGTTTTTAGGTAGCCAAGGCACGCAAGTTCATAGAAATGTATGAAAAACGAGGTATTTCGCGAGACAGGATTCTGATCAAGCTGAGCAGCACGTACGAGGGAATAGCCGCCTGTAAGATCCTGGAGGCGGAGGGGATCCACTGCAACATGACGCTTATTTTCTCAATTGCTCAGGCGGTGTTGTGTGGTGAGGCTGGTGCGACGTTGATCTCGCCTTTTGTGGGGCGCATTCTGGACTGGTATGTAGCCAACACGGACAAGAAGACCTACGAGGGTCACGAAGATCCCGGTAAGTCCTGCTCCTGAAACGAGGTGGAACGGTTAAAAATGAGAACCAGAAGAATTATGCATTTTTTTGTCGAGGCGTTTTGCATCGAATCATTATTAGTCGAAGCGCTGAAGTGAATTGTAGATAAAGCTTCTCACTTTACGGGGATAGGATAATTTTCGGTTCATTACTTGGATCGGATTATTTTTAGTTATCTGATCATTTGAAAAATCGGTTGAAATGTTATTTTAACATTATCATCAGTCAGATTTTAACAGGTGTACAGCGAGTGACTCAAGTTTACAATTACTACAAGAAGCATGGATACAAAACAGAAGTGATGGGCGCTAGTTTCCGAAACGTAGGCGAGATCATGGCACTGGCGGGCTGTGATCTTTTGACCATCAATCCGAAACTCCTGGAACCCCTCTCGTCCTCTACTGAGACAGTGACTCGATATCTGTCACCAGAGGTTGCAATGCAGTCAGATATGCCGAAATTGTCATACGACGAAGCCCAGTTCCGAGAAGCGATCAAAAGCGACAAAATGGCCAATGAGAAATTATACGGAGGCGTGGATGCGTTTTCATCTGATGCTGTCAAACTTGAAGAACAATTGAAAACCATGTTCGAAGAGTTGAAAAAATGAACTTTTCTCATTCCCAATCGTCGACTCAATTTGTAAAATGTATTATAGTGGAATAAGCTGCAATCTCTCTTTTTGCACTGATAAAGAAGCATCCATGGTGTATCTTTGTATGGCAATTATGGTTCTGAATCAATATATAATTGTTTGTTATATTCTTGAATTGTAATCTTACTAACTCAAGCGGAGATGGTGTTAAAGTGCGAGGCTACGTTTTTTAAACGCAAGTCACTGTTGCAAAGGTTCTGCAGTATATAAGCATAATGAAGTAAATATGTTTAGTTTAAGTACATGATGTTTGCGATATCAGGCAGTCGTAGTAAAATTGTTAAAGAAGGTGCGCATCAAGCAGGAGACAGAGTTTCGAATCCCGTAGTTTATTAAGAGTCGATGAAAGTAGTGATTTTTTGTAAAGTTTTTTCAGGAATAAGTTTAAAATTGCTTTAGTCAACTTGCGTGCGTTCATTCGCAGTTCATGAAAATATCAGTATGTGAAATTTATTGTATGAAAAATACTAGTTAGTCTACAGCGTGCGTTCAATCAGCGTGAACAAACTCTTTCACATGCACGCTCGCACATGAGCTGTAGAGGTAGTTTGAAAACATGTTTTAAAGTGAGAAAACAACCGTTTTAGCATGTAAAGTCTAAGCATGAACACAATGTTTTTGCTGACTAAACCATTTTCGGAAATGTTTTTTCACGCATTCGGAAAATTATTAAGAGTAATGAAAAGAAGTGAAAATTCTTATATAGGTCTTGCTGATTTGTTTTTGGTTTTTTTTCAGGAAAAAGTCTTAAAATATGTTCACGCTCATTTTTGATTTTTCGCGGTTTGACTTGTGATTTATTTTTAAGTTCAGTGCATTTCCATTGCTAAAAGGACGGCAAAATTCACTATCGAGCAGGAAAAACGTAAAAGTCACGAAAAACGTGATCGATTTCTTAAGTTAGAAAACGGAAATTATTTATCAAATTTTACAGCGAAGTAAGCCTATTGATCCAGTTTTCTCAAATTGGGTTAATTTTAACAAAAAAAGTGTACAGCATAAATTGTTCTAAAAATTCATAGAGTTTTAAGGCTGTCTATTTTCTTTCTTGAAATTCAAAAGTTGAAGGCTCTTGAAACAAAATTCAGTTTTTTTTTTCAGTTTCCTTGCAATTTTTAATCTTTTCCAACTGTTAGTTGGCTATGTTTTCACTATCCACGGGGCTGGCGGCCCTCTGACAGTGAAATAATTCCCTCGTGCATAAAAAAAACAGTTGCGAAATTACTACTTAAACACAACAGAACTGCATCCGTGATTGACTTGTAATTTCGAAAGTGGATGTGTTATTATTCAGATTTCCAAGCGCAATAAAAATTTTAACTTGTGATCCAGTTTTTTTTATTTCGAGCTTATTTTATCAAAGAAGTGTCAATCATAAATTTGTCTTGAAATTCAAAGAGGGTCATATATATTTTAATTTTCTAATTTATTTTTCATAGGATTCTAACCTTTTTTTTTCATGGTAGTGTTTTCATTTGAAAAACGAAGACTGCTGTCTTATTAAATTAAAACTAGGTCAACTCAAATTTTTCGGTAGTTCTATTAAAAATTGCTAGATGCATTTGTTGTTTCTTTCTTGTCACTTTGATTTGTTGCCCGCTACTTTTCCTGATTAACTTATTGTATTTGTTTAATTAAAAGTAGTTTCAATGTGTTAAGATTATAACGAAATAATTTTTAGTTTTCAAGTTATTTCGTTGTCAATTAAAAAAAAAGTTATCATTAATTTCATTTCACTTTCAGATAATATTGTTACTTTTCCGGAGCTAATCATTTTTAAAATAGCTCAATGATACAGTTTTTTGTCGTTTTTAGCAATATTAGTTAAATTGCGTTTTTTCAGTTGAGGTTTTGCTTAACGTTCTCTTTCTTTAAACTTGTTTTTTGTCTGACCGCACTTTTTTGGAATTTTTATCGGCGTTTGTTTTCGGCTTCAGAACTTCAAATCATTTGTTTCTTCTTTGCAGTGTCTCTTTCTTGTTTCTGCATCTTGGTTTGATTCGAGTTTTTCGAGTATTTTTTTCTTACTGCAAGAAGAATAGTTAGTAGATTTTGAATTGTTCTGTAAATATTTTTGAAGTTTATCATTTTCATTTGTTTGTTGTCTCTAGTTTGTTGTTTTTAGTACGTGAGGTGTGTTTGTTTAATTTAAGTTGTTCTGATTGTTGCAAAGTGATATAAAATTTGTTCAGTAATTATATTTTGTCTTATCTGAAAAATCAGAGTTCGCGTTTTTCATCAGTGTGCTGTTTACAAATAGTTTCATGTCAGTTGTAATAAACTAAATTAGTTGCTTGTTTAATTTTGAAAAGTGTTTTCCAACTTTTTTTTCACTCTGATTTTTCAAAACTTTTTTCTAGACATACATTTTTTTTCATCGCAAATGGTTCGAAGCTTTACGTCGTTTCTGTGTCTGCTGTTAGTTTGAAGGCCAAATAGCTTGAAGGCCAGATATATGTATTTTTGAAATCCTAAAGTTGAAGTTATCGAAAAACAAGACAGATTTTTTGTTCCCTCGCGTTCACTGACTCTTTACCAACTCTGTTGGCTATATTGATGTTTTTTTCTGTCTTTTATATACATTTTCTGTCCTACATTTTCTTGAAAAATCAATGCAATTTTGTCATTTTCCATCAATTAGTATTTTTACACAAAATAATTATGCATGTCGAACAAATGTGAGTGCTTGTGTAGCAGTTATAGCTTACAAGTATTACGCTAGGGAGCTGTCAGGGATTAGTGAGTCTCTAAATGCTCCTGTAGAACAGAGTCTTTTGACTGCTGTCGTCATTGTAAAAATATGTTTTTTTTTTTCAAATTTAAAATAAAAGCTCATTAAATTCCTACAAAAATTAGTTTTTTATGTTGGTAGTGTAGTTTCTTCAGATAACTCCAGCGAAGTGTTATGATTTCATGGGCGAAGTGTTGTAAGAACAGGCGACCTTTTCTATCCAAAAGTCGCACAGTTTAGTGCAAAGTTTATGCGTTAATTAAAGAGCATGATTCAGCTATATCCGCTTTATTGTAGCCCATTCTTCGATGCCTGATATCTACGAATAAATTATGCGAGAAGGCATTTTGCGCAAAAAACGACGTCTAAGTGGTAAAGGCAAGTAAATCATGATCAGGCGAAGTTTAGACCTCGTTATTACTGAGATTTTCTTTCAAGGCATGTTTTTTCATTTTCTTTTTTTGCTGCTTTTTTAAACTGTTTTAATTGCATATTTTTATCAAGTTTTGGGATGCGAGCAAGGTAGTATCCACTCTGCGCTCTAAATTCTGTTAACATTGGAAGTTGTAGAACTGCATTTCTTGCTAGTGAAATTTTTCTAATCTAATGATTGTAGTTCAAAACAAGAGTGAAAGGGCTTTTAATATGCTATATCAATTGATCTCATCGGGTAATTATGTATGGTAGCTTGCTGAATTTGCGTGGCAAAAACAGCACAGTCGAATTTAAAGTTTCTTTACACATTACGGGGAGGGCTGGTAAAAGTAATTGCAGAACGATTTGAAAGTAATATTTTTTAGTAAATACCGATGAATTGAAGATGTCGAAATCTTGAATGGAAGTTGCGAGCTAATAATTTAAACTGTTTGTTTCAGATTCTTTTGAAAAGTGTATTGAACATTCAGTGAACTAATGGGCGTTTCCTTGTAAGTAATTTGTTTTGGGTTGTGACCTAATTAATCTCGTCTCATTTTAATACAAAATTTAACTTCATCAGTCGTTATAGCCAATTCAGCCCAACTCGACTGATCATGTCAAATGTTTTTGTTCCGACTGTTGAAAATGGGGAGGAACTTTAAATTCGGGTTTGTTTTACTTTTCTAGGAGTAATGAACGTAGTGAGTTTCTTACATAGGTCTTGGTGATTTTTTTTATCAGGAAAAGTCTTAAAGATTGTTCACGCTTAATTTCGATTTGTGGCGATTCGACTTTTTTAAGCTTATCTCGTTTCCATTGTTAAAAGGAAGGCAAACTCTACTATCGAACGGCAAAAGTGTAGAGGTCACGAAAAACTTAATTGAGTTCTAGAGTCGAAAGTGATTTAATTTTCAGATTTTCCAGTGGAATTAAAAATTTACATTCTGATCCAGTTTTCTCAAATTGGGTTAATTTTATTGAAAAAGCATCAATCGCAAATTGTTCTTGAAATTCAACGATTTTTCTAGAGCATATTTTTTCTTTAAAATTCGGAAGATTTTTCAAACATCAGGTCAGTTTTTTTTCTGTTTCTTGAGTTCATTTCTCTTTTCCAGCAGTTGGCAATTTTTTGTTTCCAAGCAAAATCAGATACTGCAAGTAATCATTGGAATATAGTGAGTGATAAATCAAAATAAAGTAGTTTTAATCGTGATTCGAAGTACTTTAAAAAATTTTCAAGTGTTGAGAAAAACCGGTTTGAATTTTTCGAATAATTTCGAGTGAGTAAAGCAATCGAGTAACGTTCGTGGTATATAAAGTTGGTCATTTTGGCTGAGCAAATTTTATTCTACCAAATGAAAATTAGTTTTGGAAGCTTTATTTTAAAATCAGATACTGCAATTAATCATCGTAATGGAGAGTGATAAATCAAAATAAAGTAGCTTCAATCGTGATTCGAACGACGTGAAAATTTTTTCAAGTGTTGAGAATAACCAGTTTGAATTTTTTGAATAATTTCGAGTGAGTAAAGCAATCGAGTAACGTTCGTGGTATATGAAGTTGGTCATTTTGGCTGAGCAATTTTTATTCTTCCAAACCAAAACTAGTTTTGGAAGCTTTATTTTGCCCCAAAAGCTTTCTAAAAAATATTGTGGAAAAAAATAGAAATTTAAAAAGGTTTTCTTTTGTTTCTTGCACGTTTTTGGAGATAATTGTTGTCGATTTTGCCTAATTTACTGACCTTCTACGCGTTTTCTAGGTCTGTCATCACATCACGCACAAGAAACGACGCTCTTTTGAAGAAATAAGAATTTTTTGTAATTGTTTTTCTGATTGTGGTCGGAACATTCTGTGCTACTTGCGCAGCAACCGGCTTTCCTTGTGTGGCTTTGTAGTTATATATTTTTTTCTATGGTGATTATGATTTGAGATACACCGAGTAATAATTTTTAATACTGAGAGCAGTGATAAAGTTAAGGTCATGTTTTGAGCTTTCATCATTTTGAAGGTCTTTCGAAACAACTTTCAAATCACTGATCGGCTTTAGTTTGTTTCAGAGTTGCACCATTCGCCGTAGTTGTTTCCGAGAATATCCCTCAAATCAGTCGAGACGAAGTGATCAAACGCCTGACCTACCTCGGTGCTACAAAAACGTCCAACTTCTCAATTGACTATGACGTTCTCTACCCTGTGGCGCCCATCGAAGGCCAGAGCCATTCTAACAACATGCATGTGTTCCATCATAGCGAATGTCCTCACAGTACTTTCTGTATTCTGGACAGTGGGGCTAAATTGACATGTGAAAACTCTTTTGACGCAGTTCTGAACAAAATGAAACCGTTTTATTCGCCAAAAAAGACCCAAACGGGTACTAGTGCGATCGAAATTAAAGGAGCAGTGTACTCGTATGTTGATTTCGTGTTCAGGGTCGGAGGCATTTATTTCGGACCGAACCCGAAGTATTTTACGCTAGAGGTAAGTGAGTGCTAGTTAACATTATAGAAGCATTCCAAAACAATCACCCCGCCAAATTAATCAAAATTTATGGATCAAAAGTGAGTGAATAAACGAAGTTATCGGTAAATTAACTGGCAATAAAACTAAATCCCTTCATGTAAATGTATCCGAAATTCAAGAAATACGAAGTTGTATTCGGAACTGTTATTAAAACTATCATTTTTAGACGAAAGTTGAAAATGATCGAACGTTTTTGTGTTGATTTTACGTAAGTTCAAGTTGGATAAAATTTTTTTATGTAGATTGAGTACAACGCTTGTGACTATATGTCCAAATGCAAAGCACTCATGGAAGAAATGCTGAGCGATGTTCTGGGAAATGACGTCATCAGGAGCTTCAATTCCTATTGGTCAAACGATTCAGCCAATAGAAGCTCCAACCCCGACCAGGAGGAACCGTTTCAAACTATTGACTGCATTGACAAATATTTGAACATAATAACCAAAATTAAACAAGGAAGCGTTTCTACTAATTATGATTACAGTTTCAATTGATTTGTTAGTGTTTATAGGTATTGTTTCTTGTAGAAGGCTGAGTTAAAGTTTTCGCTGTTCCTTTTCATAATAAACCTTGTATGCTTCGTTTGATAACGGAAAGCTGGATTGGCTAGTCAGGCAAAAGTTATTTACTCTCGTGGTTTTTTTATCGTGCGTTGCGTCATCAAGGTTTTTCCGCCAGATTTTCAGTAGCTTATTAAAAAAAACTTGCGGTGGAACAAGTATTGTAGCCTTTTCAGTCGTGATTTTTCAGTCGTGATCTTTGATACTGTCCAAAGTTTAGAGCTATTCACATTTATCTTTTCCCAAGAATTATTCGATATGTATTGAAAGGCAAGTCGGAACATTCAGGGCCTTGCCCTGATATATGAGTAGTCTTGTTAATTTATATATTTTTTTGATTTATTGTTTTTGTTCCGACTATCGAAGAAACTAGAATATTCACGCTCGGGGTGGTTTTTTTTCAGTCAATTTTCGCCGATCGAAATAATTGTTTTCAACAAAAGGTTTTTATACACCATTGAAGATATCGACATCCTGAGTTCAATTTTAAAATTATATTTTACCTGCAATTATTTTTAGTAAAGTTCTGGGGGTTTGAAAATTGCCAAGTTGGCCATGTTCTCGACTAAATTATGCACGCTTCAAAGAATTTATTCATAATGGTGAGAGCGTAACGCGAATTATTTATGAGTGGCGAAATATCCTGCACAAAAATTTCGTTCAAAATTGAATTGAGGCTAGCTAATTGGTCGGATTAATTTCGTACAACTCGAAATTTCTTACATCGATTTTGTCCGGAATTTAGGTTTCCAAAATCTTTTCCCAAAAACTATACGATATGAATTAAGGGACAGTCGGAACATTCAGGGCTTTGCCCTGATATACGAGCAGTCTTGTTGTTTATTGTTCTTGTGCGAAGAAAACTTTGATAATGGTGCTAGGAAATTAGACGACAAGCAAATTAGTCTATCCAAAAGTAACTGAATTTAGACAAAAATTTGTGTGCAAACTTTACAGACTTAAATTAATTTTTGGTTGAGTAAAATTTGGTTGTCCAACCGCAAATCAGGTTATTAATGTCACAGTTAAATAACTTATGCTTTTCAAACTTTTTCGATTCAATGTTTTAAAATAAAATCATAATAATAATTTTGATCGTTTCTGATTATGTACGCTTTTTGTTTTTGTTGTAATGGGGACTTTTTTCCCCGTGAACTTTTTTTTTCACAAAGCTGTCAGAAAATGAATTTGTGTCGCACTTGATCTAAAGCTAATGCAGCGCGGGCGCCGGTGTACTCCAAGGGTTGCTATTCGAATCCCGGTCAAATATTGTTTTTTTTTGTGTTCGGGAAAAAAACTAGTTTACCAGAATTTTTAATGAGTTTGCATAAAAATTTCTGGGAAACATTGAATTGTCACACTTTCGTTTGTCTGCTCAATTTTTGGCGACTTTTTTTTTAGAAAGCATGACATTTTAAGTCTTGACTTAATTGCTTTTATTTGTCTAGTTTGAAGATAGAAACTTTGTTGGTATCGTTTGGAGTGTATTTGCTTCATTTTTGAAAGTTTTTTCGCTCAAAAAAATTTTGACAGCAATTTTCTACGACATTTTTTTCCTGTTCAATGAGAAGTCCGCCCAATTTTTGTTGGCTTAGTAGCCACTCGTTACATGAGTCGATACATGAGTCAACAGGATCGTTGCAGACCATACCAGAGTCGACAGCACCAGTCGAAAAGGGTCAAGTACGGTTTTGTTTCGTGATGAAATTGTCTTCAGATGAGGCGAAAGATATGGTTTCTCACAGGGGAGGATTTAAAGGGGGATGGCCCCATTTAAACTGTTTTGAGATATCCATTTTGGCTGACGGATCCTAAAGTATTTCTAAAAGCGCCTTTGGCGCCAATATTTACTTATTTTGAGGGGGAAGCGCGCGCCAAAAGGCATATTTTCTTAATCACAATTTTTTCAAAAAGTGGCTTTTGTAGCCTGTTTTAAAAAAAAAATTACACACGGCGTAAATAATTTGGACAGAACAGGGTCTTTTTAGTGCTTGGGAGAGCTCGGAGAATAAATTTAGGAATCTGCTTAACAATTTCCCACCCTATGCTACCTACTTAAAATTCTTCACCCCTATAAATAAGCACAGTAAGTTAGCACTGAGCTTTCTATTGCGAATTCTAATTTTGCTGCATTCTGATTGGTCGAAAGTTGACCATTTTGATCTACTTAAAAATCTCTCTCCTCCCCTCTCTCCTTTCTTGCAAACTAGAAAGTGGTGGAGATTGTTAAGTAGATCCAAATTTAGTCCATCTAAAAAAGGTCGAACATTTGTTTGAAAATCCGCCCCCCCTCGAGAAAATCCTAGATCCGACCCTGCTTATAATCATCTGCAGCAGCTGCTAAGCTATATCAAATTTAGTATCTTGGTTATCTAACTTTTCTTCTTTATTTTTGGATCTTGTTAACTATCCCCCCCCCCCAATTTCGATTTTCAGAAATTCAACTTTGGCAGCCACATTTTCAATAGCTTAAAACAATTTTCAGAAAATGTTATTTAAAATTTTTTACGTGTGTATTATATAAATAGTGAGTAACACAAATACGAACGCGCGAAAATGAAAACCCACTTAATTGTTGACATTTTGAAATGCATATTTTATACAGAAATGGTTGTCAAAAATAGTACATGCATAGGGGTGGGGGGGAGGATAGTTAACAAGGTCCGAAAAGGGGGAATAGTTAATAAGATCCAACTTCCGGGGTTGACAAAAAATGCTTATCATACTATTTCATATTATGAAAAAAATGCTTATCATACTATTTCATATTATGAAAAAAAACGCTTATCATACTATTTCATAGACCAAACAAAATACTATGAAAATTGCATGATACGCATTTTTTCCATACTCTGAAATATTATGAAAGGAATTTTTTTCCATACTATGAAATTGTATGATAAGCATTTTTCCATAAATGAAAATACCAAAAAATATTTGTTTTGAAATTTTGTGTTTTAACCAAAACACTAGCCCTGGACTTTTTGTCATAAGAAAACCCAGAGAGTAACTGGCAGTTACCATGCAGATAAACTGCATTTGGTGATTTTTGTCACCTACATTAATTTTTACATGAAATTCTATACCAAAATATCACTTTTTGTATATGTAATTTTTGGTTTGAAAATTTTGGTAGTTGAGAAAAAAGGCCTGTTTTCTTAAAAATTTATTTTTATCTTAGCAAATGAAGTTTAAAAAAAGAATGTTGTTTACAAAAAAAAACACTTTTTTGTGATTTTTGGGTGGAAAACTTATTCTGGACTACGTTTTAAACACAAAAAGTCAAATTTTCCATGCAAAATTTTTTTTTTTTTTGCAGAAATTTATATTTAAGCACAACAGCAAGTTGGCAACCAAAAAAGGATAAAAATTATTTTACCTCAACTCTGTGTTTTTGCTTATGAAAAAAGCATATCATACAATTTTTAGATATGAAAATTATATGATAAGCATTTTTTGACCAAAATTAAAATCATGTTTTTCAGAGTCAAAATGCATTTTTTCAATGAAATTTTTTTAAACTCATGTAAATTCATCCAGAAATGTCGTTAAATTAATTTTGAAGATTTTATTTTTTCTATGGCAAAATGCTTATCATACAATTTTCATATATGAAAATATTATGATGAGCACTTTATTGACCAAAATTAAAATCATGTTTTTATTGAGCAGAAAGATTCAAAAGATGGAAATAGAACAGAAGTATTTCTCTAAAAACTTTTCATACAGTTTTTAAATTTCGTATGAAAATTGTATGTCAAGCATTTTTTCCATAGTCGCCATATATGAAATTGTATGATAAGCATTTTTCTTTTATGGACGTCAACCCGGGTTTTTTTTGTGAAATTGTCAGATTCACATTTTTGTTCCTGGTATTACATGATATTTTAAAAGTGTTCATCCAACTACGAAGACAAAAAATAGCTTTGCTTTGGTGTTTTCAATTTTGTCAGAGAATAATGCGAATTTTCCATTTTCAACAATCAACGCTCTGATTGTAATTGCTCAATTATGGAAAGGTTGACTTTTTATCTTTGAACATAGCAGGCTTTTCTACTCGTTCAGCGGAACAGCAGTTAGAAGTTTCAGATGAACTCTAATTTTACGACTTTTGTGTTTGCCATTTATAGTATTTCACCCAACAAATGACAATTTGGTGTTTGAAAACTTGTGGTTAAGAAAACAAGGAACTACTTTTGCCTGTTTTTGCTTATCAAGTAAAATGGTAACCAGGTCAAGTTTCAGTGTTGGTAGATAAATATTTGAGAGGGTGTCTAAATACAGCGTTTTAATTTAGTCCTGTGACTTAAATTATACGCCATGTTGTCGTAGTAACGCAACCTTACTTGCCTCCAAAAAAAAACGTGATAATCGATATAACATGCTTAACATTTAATGTAACGTAAGGTTAAAAGCTGGATGATTGGCTGTTTTTTCTTCGAATTTACCACTTTCGGTCGGAGTTTTGAACGCATAAGTTTAAATTCTTGTAGTCTATAAGGTGTGTATGGAAAATTTACAGGAGGACGGCGCCACACTCAGTTCCGGCCTACTAAAATTTTTGGAATTGATCGTCTTTTAGTACTATTCAACTACAATAGTTATGGTTGACCAATTTAAAACCCACTGTGTAGATTTTGGGGATTTTTCCTCATGGTGCGACGTATCTTGCCTCGCCCACTTTCCCCCATATCTCTTCCCCTTCACACCATGCTACGCCGTCAATAACAAACGATATCATCTACAACCCCGAAATGTTTGCTGATCAAGTAAATTTGCCGATCAAATGTCTCACAGCATTGCCCGCCCTTTGACTCTTCTCAGCCTTCTTTGTTGAGTCAGTAAAATATGGGGTGCAATATAAGTAACTAAAATACTCCTTTTACAAAAAGCTCGCGTTTTGTTCGGCTGAAATTCTTGATGGGTCAGAAAATTTAGTTATTTCGATTCGTACGTTTATTTGCTGCGTCGTTGC